ATAGGAACCAAACGACACAATTAAATTGAAGTACACGGAACAACTGACCGTCAAAAACAATAATGGCCCAGTATATTTCTTCTGTTTACCACCTATAGCGTCCCATGCTCTCTTTGTGTCAACGAGACATCGAATCATAAATGAGCACCAATTCATATTGTGAACATTCATTAGATCTTCAAGCATGTGGAGTACACGGAAGTTCGCCATTCCGTTTGAAGAGCTCTCAAAGAGACAGGTAACCATGAGAACAATGAAATGGCATTTGAACGTGTCGTCACCTTCAGTACACTCACGAATCTTATCAAAGACCTTCGACGCTGTAATGTTCGATGGAATTCTAACACTGAATAAGGCAACCCATTGGTCGAGCACATCCGATGCAACTCTCTTTTTCTTGTTGCTAATCTCAATATCTCCATGGGGTAAGCCTAATGCTGCGTGAACATCTTCTTCCATTACATGCAGTTTTTCGCCGTCGTGTAAACGCAACTTCCGATCCATGGGATTGAAGTTGTTGACTAACCAAAAGCCCATTTTCAATGGGGTTGTGGTTATAGTCAGGTCCAACAAACGCCCGAGACCCATTTCGCGAACCGCTTGCTTCTGAACGTCCGTCAGACCAGAGACCGCCTTCACAAAAATAGTTGAAGATGACCTCGTAATTAGACTTGGGAACCAATCATCGTCATCACCATCTGAATCAGCACCAGTAACGGGAGCACTGTCAGTATCATCAATTTTGTGCTTGCCTTTATCTGAAAAAAATAAAATAAAAAAATAGTAGGTCTAAACATCTAACACACACAACTGTAATCACACATAGATATAAACATCCAAACAGATATTTGGTTTCAAATACCATATCGGGGATTCTTATTGGCAGCCACGCGCGGACGAGTGCTCTCATCCATAAAATCACTACCGGGCTGACTCACTTTACATGCAGTTGACTTTGAACGTTTCGCATCGCCAACTTCTCGATCTGATGCAACATCAGCCCTCTTACGCGGAACATCTGAATATAAAAAAAAATAAAAATAATTAAAGTTCACATTAAAAGCAAATCCGTATATTGCAAAAAAAAGGGGCTCGTACAAAACATATTTACTATACCAATAAAAAATAATGATACCAAACATGTAAATTCGAAACTTTAGCATATTCACCTCCCTGAGCATGGACACTCTTATCTGGCACATCATCCTGTTGAGATGAAGACGAACCCGTACGACGTCGGGGTGCTGGGAAAGAATACAAAAAAAATAAATAAATAAAT